GTGAAGGGGCTCTGCGCCCCACGGTGTGTTGTTGTGATGTGAATTGTCATAGTTACAGACAGAAGAAACACTGTGTCAATACCAGACCTCCCCAACACACACATACACAAGTTTTGTTTTTCTCTATTTGAGGGCAAAGTGGTCCAGGTGATTGTTAATAAATAAAGTCAGAAGCCTGTAGAAGGTTAACTCCGGGAAATGGAGGTTACTTATCATCCATATGCTATTATAATTTTATAAACTGTTATACTACAGATGGAGACATGGAACTTGGTATTAAAGGCGATTCAGTGTTAATAAGTCTATTTTTACATAGAGTTGTATAAAAACTAGGTACACGGCTTAATTCCGTTGGGAATACTGGGATCTATGGTTTAGGAATCGTCACAGAGGACAGTATATAACGTCGCCACCTGTTGCTGAACACGCATGTAAAACAATGTGATGTTTGATTTTCTAACCAGTTCTATATCACAGTCACAACAAATCGTATAAATATAACCACAACCAACTGTTAACTTTTTTTTGTTTGTTTGTTTACTAAGAACAAAAAGAAGCCAAACGTATGTCACTGTTCGACATCCTCTTTATCCAAACTCACAGAAAACACGCCCAAGTTTTCAAAAGTATCTGTGTCAGGAGTTGGAGGAGGCGGGATGAGGAGCAGCAACAGAAACCGGAGGCGGAGGTTGACTGCAGCTACAGCTACAGCAGATAATAACAAACGATAAATACGAGAATATTTGAACATTTCACTGCACAGTTCCAGATGCTGCAATTGATAAACAACACCCTGGATGTAAAGATACCGTAAAGAGCTACGTCTACTCTGTGGTGCGTTCACTGTCCTGTTCGGGGAGAAACGAACTGCTCCACTTCCCCCTGACTGAAGAGACAAGCTCACCTCTTGGCGTTTGGAGCTTCTGCCTCCCGTCTGCCCTTTTCCCAGATGAAGGAGCAGAGGATACGGTCAGAGACAGAGACGAGCTCCGTCTACTGCCGTTTAGCAACAAACCACCATCGTCTGTTCTCCAGAGCTGCAGCCTCGGTCAACATCACCACTGCGCTGCATGTTCTCTTTTTCCGGGGAGGGACTTAAATATATCACTGCAAGCATGCATGCTGGATCTAAGATTTAAACATACAAAAACAAAAAGAAACACTATTAGAAAAGAACACATATCCTCAAGAGATCACAACACAGCAAAGATAAATTGTTATCGTTAATTATGGTTGTACTTCCATTTTTCACTAGATGGTGTATATGGGCTTTAAGAAACCAGAGAGTAGATGAAAACTCTTGATAAGGACAAATACGGTTATTAACATTTTAGTTGTCATTAATAGCATTGAAACTATTATTAAGAAGTTTCAGTACAAGAAAAAGTCCAGCTCTGTTGACTGAAGAGAAGAATTCCACCAACAAGAGAAGTTTAAGAGGGGTATAGAGCACAAAGACAGCCAATGAAATAAATTGTTTATTTACAAGAAAATATGCGCTTACATTTTATACATTTTTTCCCCAGAAAAGGCACACATTCTTAAATTGTCATGATAATTAAGAAGGATTTATTTGGTAAAAGGCACTTTAAAAAAACAGGAACAAATGAGAAAGAGAAAAATGAAGGATGACATGGATGACGACTACATGACAGTTGACTGACTTGACATTAGGATAAAATTTAAAAAGATGATATTTTCTATGTGGGGGACTTACAACTACACACGGGCCAATTATCTAAAATAAAAAATGATAATGAGTATGGTTAGATGAATTACAAAAACAGAATTAAAAAAAAAAACTTTGATGCTTCTATAGATCAAGTATTAGAAATTCCCAAACTAAAAAAAATCTAATATGAAAAAAGAAAACTCTGGGAGGTGGTGGTGATATAGTGAGAGCTGAATGGCAAATTAAATTAAAAAAAAAAAGTTAATGTAATGTGAAATGTTCCTTTAACCACCTGCTTTCAATGCATAGAAGAGTGGAAAAAGCACAAAATTGAAGAAAAAAAAAGAGTTTGTACATTGCTGTGTTGTTCCTTCAGAGTGTGTTGTCCAACAGAAACAGACTCTGTGCAGAGCATGTGCAGTGATTGAGCTGGTCAAGTTTTGCCAACAGAACGCCTTCACTCTTTTTCTTTGTCCTCAACAGTTGTATCCATGGAATGTATGGATCATGAGTGTGATCATGAGTTTGTTTGGGATTCAGCTAAACTGCACCCACCCTGATTTGACAGCATCTTTACTGGAGCTGTGGAGGATCAGAATGGAGTCAAAAACATTTATAATAATGGAAATAATAGATGCAGGGGAGACTAAGTAAAAATAAAAAAAAACTTACTTTGAACCTGCAGATGTGAAATCTCCCCAAATATCAGAGCTGGACTGGGGTGCAGGGACCATGGATCCAAAGTCTAAAAGAGTGTCTGAATAAAGAAAAGAAACCTCGTCACTGAAGGCAGCAGAGATGCTCACGTCATAACAGGAATGACATGAAAATCAATGCCGATCTAAAAACAAATGTTTACCGGTGTTAGTGTTAATAGAAGGGGTTGCCTGTGCTCCACCAGGTGGCGGTACGATGCCTCCAACCTTTGCTCCTCCGGGTGGAGGTGGGAGCAGACCTCCAACCACTGGCTTTGGTTTGGCAGCAGCTGTATCCTTCTTCTTGATGTTCTGTGCTCAGAGAACATCATCCGTTTCCTACATATCATTTCAATAACTACAACGGTATTTTAACAACGATGCCGCGGTGTCTCACCCCAATGTGGATCTTGATGGTCTGACCCTCTTTGAAGCTCAGGTCCAGTTTAGGTGCTGTGATCTGAGAAGCCTCCATTTTTGCAAGCTCACCTTCTTGCTTCACCCACCTTGTTTGAATACAATGTAACAGCAGTTTAGGACTCAAAACATGCATGTCATTACACAACAAACAGTAGAATGCCACAGGAAGCAGCTTACTTAAAGTGGTCTTGTAAAGCAACGTTGAAGTCGAATGAGTCTCCTCGATCAGCAAAACCCAGACCGATAAAAGCATGACGTCCTTGATTAAAGAAAAACAAAAGTGCATTACACTTTGTCAGGCACAGTTTAAACATACAATCATGAGGGACTTTTTGTACTTTTAGTAAAAGATCATTGACAACAATAATTGCTAATACATTGATCTTGTACTAGAAGACAGTGCACTGAACACACCCACAGTCATTTGTGGTTGTATAACCACAATTATATTAATTATTTTAATCAATCTGATTGTACACAGGTGTTCGTTGTTCGTACGTGTTTGGGTATGTTGAGTATGAAACACAAATATTTTTTATTTAAACCTAATCTGAGCTCATCCTTTAAATTAAACAGTGTCTTCATATTAGAGTTAAGAAAATACTGTACGGACTGCTACAATATAAAATTAAAATATAACATTAAAGAAAAACATCCTCTGCCCATTAACAGTTACAGATTTGGGCATTTATTGGAGGTAAAGGGTTCTTTGGAGGGTTCTACATATGAACATACATGAACAATTCCAACAAATCAATAATACTACTGATACATACAGAATAGTTTTAGTTATAAAATAGATATAGATATATAGTTACCATTGCCGTCCTCTATCCGGATCACAAAATACCTGCTGGAGTCTGTCACTGATTCGACTGCAAGACCTGGATACTGTTCAACAGGAGCTTGTGCAAACAGTTCACCTGTGGAGAAACAAATGTTGACCACAATGTTACTTAAGGGGTTTGTTTCTATGTAAGAATAGAAGGTTGTAGAAACAAGGCCAGACAGCAATGCTCCAGACCGAGTTTGTTTTCTTGAATTCAGTTTGTTTTATAAGAACAGTTAATAATGAAGGGGTGTTTTGGAAAAGCACCAAAACCAACTGAGCAGATGTTTTTTGGATGTTTTGTTTACCTGTGTTTTTGTCTTCTAACTTAATGTAGGCCATCTTAGCTTTAGCTGTGATCTTCATACGACCGCTCCATGCTGGCTCATCCAGCTTCCAGTCAGCAGCTCTGGAAAAAAAACAGATGAAGTTAAAGCCCCACTATGGAAAACAGCTGACACGGTTACATTTAAAGGGTAGGGACTGAAAACAGGAAGTGAGAAAGTGATATCTAAGGTTTTGAGCCAAAATCCGTTTTTAGCTATTGAAAGTTAAAAAAAAATAAAAATCTACTGTACAAATAACAATAAATGTCAGACATTGCTGTTCAATAACAAATTTTGAAACTAAAAATATAAACAAAAACTCAAACATATATATATGTTTGCTCATTCAACGTAGTATCTAATTTATTTTTTTAATTTAACTGACATATAGTAACACGCTTCATGTTCGGGTCAACAGATGTGAGACGCAGGTAAACCGTATGTTATGAAGCTGGTGTCAGGTATCCGTATTTACATAGAGAGCGGAATTGGTTTCCACAATCAACGGTACTTGCCCACCATCAAAAATAAATAAACCACAGTAAATTGCGAAAACCTTTCCCAATGACACCAAGTGCAGTGTGCGCTGTGACATGTCGACTACATTTGGCAAAGCTAGTGAGAAAAGTAACCGAACTCCTATGTGTCCGATAATGGGTGAAGTTCCTGGAAGTTAGCTGCGCTAAGAGGTACTTGTTAGTGACAAACAAGCCGCTCGTCTCGGGGTTAAATCTTACCGATATCCACGGTTGGAGGCCCTCGGTGGGATGCGGTAAACATGAACCTCGGGCTTCACGCAGAGCATTGACTCGTAAGTGCTGTCTTCTGCCATTTTGTCAAGTTTCACCCAACTCAAAAACAACTTCCGACTTTCAATGGCCTTTCAGGGCTGCTATGGTTGACGTAGAAAAGTCTAACAAGCAGGTCTGTTTTAAACAGCGCCCCTTGTGGCCAGGATGTTCGTATAAGCCTTATTCTGTTGCTCAGCAGAATCATAATACCGTAACACTATAATCCTAGTGGTTGTTAGAAGTATTTAAATGTATTTTACTACATTAATCAAAGTTGTTTTTAATACAATTTGATTTTTTAGTAACCACTAGATAAGTAGATTTTTTGACAACCTTGAAACTTGGTAGATACTCAATGTTATACACAAAACTTTTACCTGTAAATCTGCATAGAAGATCAAAGTATAACAGAGATACCAAAGTCTGCTGTAAGTTGTTCACCAGTCACTGTTCACTAAACTTTCATCAGTTTGTTAATGTAGTAGTATTATAGACATATAAATACAAACAAAACATGTACAACGCTCTTAATGTGAAGTATGTTTATTAAAGGGATGTCAAATTCATGTTTTTATTAAGTTGGAAATAAATAATATCAAATCAGCCTACAACACAGAGCAGAACTGAAAAGAAAAAAAACAAACATGGGTAAAACAAAGTCAAACAGAATCATTATTTGCTTCCAATTATAAATTTCAAGTTAATGCAATTTTGAATTCCAAATAAATTAGACTAAATCAAGAGACTTTGTTTTTTATGTCCTCAAAAAGCATCAACATTTCAGATCCAATAACTGAACACCAGCAACAAAGAATGCAGCAATGGGAAGAAATCATTTCAAAGTAAATATGACAATTGATGACTTTTTTGAAGTGTGACACATTGACAGTTTGACATGTTTACTGCAGCTGCATTCCTGTGTGGTTTAAGTTGTGTCTTAAAATGTAATGCAGAGCATTGGGTCGACTGGGTCTCCGTAATGCAGTATTGACCAAATATGACAGTAATTCAACAAAAGGATGTCTGTAGCCATAAAAGTCTTGGTGTTGAAAGACAAACACAAGCAAGTCATCCTAACAACTACTGTTTAACTGCTTTTGTCTGTTATAATAAATACGGAGGTCCCCTTCTTAGCTTCATTTGATTTAAATCATGTAGTTATAAAACAGCGGCTTGATCATTTAAACAATGCAATCCTATGTTGTCCTAACTCTACATGGAACATGAAAATGTTTTTTTGTTTTTTTTTAAAGCACACGACAGTCCGAGAATTGCCAAAAGATGCAGTCTCACATGTCACCCAGTATGGGTTGGACAAAAAACTTCAATAGCACACAGTCAAAAATACTGCTACAAGTGCAAGGTCCAACTCAACTATGGCCATTAACATTAGTGAGGCAACACACACATGTGCATGAACACTTTAGATTTTGAATACAGTTATGGGTTTGACATTTTTCAGTTAGATCACATTTAATCATGTCTAGTCAGCTACTCCATAATCCTAAAGTAAACATACGATGCTTTGTAAGAAAGGGAAAAAAAAAAGATATCTTAAAAACAAAACAATACAAATATGTGGACAATGAGTAAAAACAAATGAACAAATACCAGGGAGTATTTCCATTATTATTGCTGTAATAAGCTTAGATTTAGTGACACTCTGTCCTTCTGATGTTTGATCTTTGGCCACAGGGTGAGGGCTCACTGAGCGTTACTTTGTTGGTCAGTGTCAACTGAGGCATGTGGTCTGTGAGAAGTGCTGGTCTGGGCCACTGCAGTATTAAAAACCATTTGTGATCACAAAGCACTTTATGTCGAACTCCACACCTTCCACTCAACTTGCATTCAAGACGCTGAACACGTGGTCAGCTCAGAGCCCGACAAGCACTTTTATTGACGATAAACCCGCCAAACTTGAGTCGGCAAACCTCCAGCCTTGTCGGCAAATTCATCGTTGGATTGGCAAGCTCATTCGTTTTCATTTGTCTCTGTGGGAATTGCCAGTTTCCTAAGCTCTCTTTATCCTCCTGAGGAGACTGATGCCTGTGGCCACAACCACTTGGACCGTTCAGACTTAAAATCATAGGGCACCTCATGGTACTTTGGACTATCACAGTGTATTGGGGTGTGAGGCAGGAAGAGATTTCAGGATCTTCAGGGTCATCTCTGACGGTCCCGACGATGTTCCACAAAGGGAAAAGAGCAAGGCAAAAGGTGCTGGCCATGCCAAAAGCAAAGTGGAGAGAGGGATGACCAGTTGTTCACAACCCATATCATGCCTTCATATTTTTAATGTTTTTTTTTTGTTGTTGTTTTTTTGTTGTTGTTTTTTTTTAAATCACTCCACTCTGCTCTCAGACCACACAACCCCTTAACTTTCACCCTTTGTGGCCACTCAGGAAGACAGCTGTGTTTCTGCAGCAGGGGGCTCCACTTTATCTGCACAGCCGAAAGCCTGAGGTGCCGTCTGGACCGGTGGGCTGGCGGATCACGTGATTTTGTAGACCAGATGCTTCGGATGGTTGTGCACTCAAACGAGCTGGCCTGAAGACAATGGAATCTGTAAATAGCAGCTCTTACAGGGGTTTTCCCCCAGACAATACATTTCTTTTTTTTTTATAATTGTTGTTTTGGCTGCGTCTTACCTGTCCTGGCTTAGATTATCCTGAGGTGTTTCATCTGAAGAAGCGCTTCCCAAAATTCTCCTCCTGGCTTCTGCATACTCTGCCTCTCTTTGTGCCAAAGACTTGGTCTGCTGAGACGGTCGAGATGAGGACGCAGGGTTTCCTATGGTACCGTTATTTGAAGGACGCTTTAAAATTTTTATTTGTGGTGGAGGAGCTGCAGGAAGGGAGTCATCCTGGATCATCACAGCAGTTTGGACAAACGAACCACTTGAGCTCGAACTGGACTTCCTGTACAGATTACACAGTGTGACATTGGTGAAATATAAGAGACACTTTTCCCTTGTTTAAGTTTGGATCATAAACTTTAACTATTCAGCAAATGCCTTCTGTGCTTACCTTGCTTCCCGAGTTATTTTTAGCTTTGCCTCAAGTCTTCTCTCTATTTCCTGAAAAGAAGGTCAATAAAGATACAAGTTCATACAAGTAATAACGTAATGTAAACAGTATTCATCACACAGTCATCACAAGATATTAAACTTAACCACAATGGCAGATACACAATGGAGCAAGAATAGTTCAACACAAAGGCTTTCAGATCATTGTCTAAAAAAAGACCAGGGTTGAAAATTGTCTGGCACACAAGGATGTGTATTTTAGCACTGAAATAGCTGACAAGGTGCCTGTCATCATCTAAACTTGTATATGACTTGATGCAAACAGTGTGTGACATTCCACGTGCAACCACAAATCAAATCAAATTCAGTATTTCAGTCAGTATTTACAAGGGACCTTAAGTAGTAAAAATGGAAAATGTCGATATTTCTCCGTTGCTCGGGATAAAAAAGCATTACACAGAAGAAAACAGTGTTTAGGCTCAGACAGTGAACTAATAGCAGTGTGTTTATGTTTTTGGACCCACTTCCAAACACCACTTGCTCAAATTCAACCCAGAGTTATTAAGGGAGCCGCTTCTGTACTTTGTTTCCAAAGTCCCATTAACTTTTTAATATTGATGACCCCCAAGTCTAAATGTAAACAGAGAGATTTTTTATGGTAAAACATAAAAAATACAAGAGGCTGAAGTCACCTCCTGCTCCCCATGATTTGACCATTTTGACGGTGTACTGTTACGTTTACTAGAAATGTGTTTTGGTTCAATGCTATTTACCAAACGATTTCTGTCCATTTATGAAGAGAATCACGAGGTAGCTTTTAGTTTTGATAAACAAAAAAAAACAAAACAAAAAACAATAGTAGCTTTCAGTTTTGATAAACAAACAAACAAAAAAAAAACAAGTGCAAAAATAAAAACATGATGATCGCACATGGTGGACTCCGTAGAACAGAACTGCGCCTTATGTAAACAAAAATGACTTTCTAGACAGTGAAGACTCATAAACGTGCCAGTCTTTTTTTGGCATTTCTTACTAAGAACGTAAACTGAAAAAATCTGCTGAAATCTTACACTGTGTTTGCCTATAAACTAGCTCCACGGTTACAGCTCTCATTTCCGCAGTGAGTAAGTGTAAACAACTGGTCAGACAGAAAGGGGAAACCATAAATAAAGCATTCAAGCGAATTATAAACCGGAGAGACAAGTATTTTTGAGAGAATAGCACAATGGAAGTCAGATTTAAGAACGCACACGTCGGTACAGGACAGCGCGGCCTGTGGAACGCAAGTCAACAAGATTAAGAGCGGTGTCTAAATCTAAACGGGAGTGAAATATAGCGCGGTGTGAGCGATCAAAAATACAACACATTTCGTCACCCGCTGATTAACGACCGTCATTTGAAACTGGGCTGTGGGGCTCCGTGTGAGGTTTTATTCTTACTCCGCTGTCCGCTGCCTCTTCCCAGCTCTCTGCGACATCTTCATCCTCCATCTTAACCGCGATTGCTGGCTAGTTAGCTCTTGAACTACGCCAGATACCTGAGTCCTGTGGACAGCAAGGGCATAGGACGGAGGACAGACTCTGCACCGGCGTCACGGGAGCTCGGTTTAAAGCTGTTAGTATCCAAACAACTGCTATAGCAGCAGGTAATACAATCTTTTTTGGGGCAGCGCGTTAGCGTGTTACCTCTGACAGCACCCCTACCCCATGACTGTATGTTACTTTAAATGTGACGTCATTAGAGTTCTTCTTTATGTTGTTGTTGCTTTGGTAGACCAGATGCCACAGTTGCGTTTTGCTGCCACCACAGTTTGTATTTCGTCATTGCAGTTTCACAATACCTGTGGAAACCTGTTTGAACAGCGTCGGATAAGTCCAATTCCTTTGTTTTGCTACCTCGTGGTGACAGGGGAATTTATGAAAATGTGACAAGGACATATAGAAGACAAAGAGTAAAGATTTATTTGATTTTCCCAAGGAGGACAGGGTTAATGTAAGACTGTAAATGTCTATGCAGTTTCTCATTCATCCAGGTAATTTTATCCAAAGAAGTTAAGTAGAAGGAAACTGGACTGCAGATACATTTTACTATCGACACTTTCAAATTCAAGGCTAGTTATTCTGCAGCATGTAAGTCATAAAGAAGGGACAAGAAGAAAATGATCAAATTTTGATTTCTATGTGCCTTATTATTGCAAATACAGAACAGTAATAGTTTATAGTATAGTTTATAGTAGTAATAGTACAGTTTCTGCAGCATTGCAAGATTGCAAAACATTTGTTTTGGGTCGCACTTGAAAGCCACTTTCTTGTGATACAGATTTTGGCTTTGAAAATTCTTACCATGACTTGTTGTTTGATGACTAACTCAGCTTTTGTGCAACAGAAGGACAAACGTCCCATTCAGTGTTACCAGACTATGGTCATTTTTTACAGCTATATTTAAAAGCACTACTGAACACAGATCCTGCCCATACACACTGCACTTGTTTCGATGTCTCATGTGACTCTGTCACATGAGACTGTAAACCAATCAAAACACAAGGTAATGCATGTAGCACATTGTGATTCAACCATAATAATAATATAGGTGTTTCTATATGGGTATCCTAGTAGGTATCATGTAGGTCATTACATAGAAGGTAACTGGACTGTTTTGGTTTCTAGAGGACATTTCATCTCGTATTCAAGAGGCTTCTTCCTTCAAACTGACTTTTTGAAAAATTCTAAATTTTATAATTATTTAATTGTGTTAAATAGTTATCTTACGAAACTTTTTATGTCTTGCAACACTAGATCATTTATCCATTTAACATTTTTGTTGATCTGCCGAGTTAGTCGGGTATGTGAGATGCCACCCTTTTTAATTGGGACGTGGCTTTTTATCTCTGACATTTATTTATCAGAGGACCCATTTAGAATTTTTTGCCCCCTCTGTTGGTGGAATTTAGCTATGTCCTTGTGAAGAGGCTCGCCTGTTAGCTCCACTTCTGACCGCAGCGTCTAGGGGCGCAGTGTTGGAGGCAGGAGAGACCCACCCTCCGCTGGGAGCTGGGACGGTCGGCCGCTGCCTGAGTGTCGCTTTGCTGCGGAGGACGTAGTTCACGGAGCGGAAGATGGCGACTATTTGGAGGCTCCAGAGGAACCACCGGAGTTGATACCAGGGAGAGAAAGAGGCACGCTGTAGAACCAAGTGCAGACCACGTCTTAAAAACGGTATTTGTATTTTGTACCATGTTTTGAACAGTGTCGTGGTATCATGGGAGAGGTGTGTTGTAGGAACGGAGCCACCGTTAGCACAGATTATTAGCATTTACAGCGGACTCGCTATGGCCAGCTAGTCTTCTTAGCTTGCCGGGCGTAATTAAATCGTAAGGTTGCCGTGTCATTGACACAGTCGAGTCTATGGAAGCTACGTGTGACATTAGGGGGTGGTTAAAAACAAAAATGCGCCAACTGTGGCATTTTTCACGTTCATGAGCAGCACTAGTGTTTGCTAGCATTAGCCAGTGAACTGGGAATAAATCAGCTAGCGCCGTTAGCCGGTGTTAACGCTTCTTCTCAGAGCACCAGGTGTTCAATGTAGCAACACATTTAGACGCGCATAACAGATACATTAATTTATTTATTTTGTATTTTTTTATTTAAAACATTTCAGTATATTTCCCGGTTGTTGTCTAATGGCGGCCATGGACACTAGCAGTCTCACATCACATTTATTGTGCTCATGTGCAGAGGCCAGCTGTTAAAAAAGGACACCACCCGTTTCTAACAATGGATGTGAACAGTTCAGTCAGCTAACAACAAAATACCCTGTTTTCTAAGGGTTTGTTAACTGCTGAAATTCTACACAGCTTTGCTCAGGAAATAGCCCTAGTCATATGTACATCCCAATGGTTCAACTGAACCATTTGTGTTATTAAGTTGTTGACAAAGGCTATTCGTCCACAAATATTCACGGTGCAGAACCTAAATCTAAAATCGCAACATATTACCACCTTCCACATAACAACTTTTTGCTAGGTTATGGGGGGAAGTAATTTTTGCTTGGTGTTTAATTGATCTGTCATACTTAAATTTGTTGTCCATAAAATGCGGATAATCTCAAATAGTGTTTAAAAAACAAACACCTTCTGCATTGTTTTTTGTTGCTTTTCACAAACCACTGGAATCCACTGTGAAGAGGAGACATGGAAATATTTTTCTTTTAATTAAAAACATACTTAAGACATTTTCTTGCCAACATAAAGTTGGCCAACATTTTCAGCTAGTTATTTCTACACTAATGATGGCTACCAATGACATCTGATGCATCTAAACAGAGATGTTTTAATACCTACAGATGGATAATGTTACCAGGGCCTTTAAAATAAGTTAACCTTGGGAACATTTACACAAACACATTGACAGATGTTTCTCTGTAAAACCATTTGCTATGATTCATAAAAAACTCTTTTATAGTGAATGAAGACTTTATTTGGCTCTACCATGACAGATTATGATTTGATTTATGTCTCAAAACTATAGCTGAATCAGTCTATGTCTAGTGTTAGGTATATCCCCGAGCAACATCATCACCGGTGCATACATCACAAGCTTGTCTCTTTATGTCTCTGCAGACAATAATGTCCCGCTCCCCTGACAATGAGGATGGATGCTTTGTTGCCATGGATACGGAGGAGGACGGTACAGATCCTGCTGGGATAAATGAGGAAGTAGACACAAAGATGGGGTCCTGGCGACAAGACGGGGCCATAGACAGTTGTGCCAAAGGAGCAGGAAGAACAATGATGGAGTTACCAGAGGAAGTTCTAGAATATATTCTGTCATTCCTTTCACCTTACCAGGAACACAAGACTGCCGCACTTGTCTGTAAGCAGTGGTATCGCCTCATTAAAGGTAGGGCTCACATATTTTCTATGTTTACAATGAAACAAGAATGGAGATTTTTATATTTAAATCTTTTTATTGAAATTTTCTTCCTACTTCCCTTGTCACTGCTAGATTACTCTGTTGCACCGTTGTTAACTGTTATACCAATTGCTAGGAATGAGTGGAAATATAAATGAATAAATAAAGTATAACTCAGCTAAATCTACGGGCCAGGACTTTACAGAGTTTGGAATGTTTTTTAGAAATGGACATTTTTAAATCATTTGCCACTGATATTTCATTGTTATAAAACTAAATCAATGTTCACATGCATTTAATCAGCAGACAAGTCAAATGACACAAAGCACAGATGAACACAGTACTTAGAGCCTGACAGTGGGACAACCGTAGAATGACACGAGCAACAGATCTCCTAGATAATATCAAAGACATGATGTAGGCTATCATTGCTCTGACACACTTTTGACCTGACCTCACATGGACAAACATGTGACTCCAGAAACTGTGACCGCTTGTCTTGCAAATATTTATACTGCAAATTAAATGTGTGTTTTGCATAAATCACATCTCTGGTTTAGAATAAAATGGTTAGAATTTGTTCTTTAAAAAAAACTAAGGCTAATATATTTGTCTTAAATCAGTAATCTTCTGTATTAGGAAACTCTTTGTAGATGAGGTAACATGTAACAAAGTAATGTGGAATGTTGTCCGGGATGAAGAAAAGCAGCCACTGCAATGATCTTCTCACTTTAATCTGTCTGTAAAATCAGGTAGAACAAATGTAGAGCATGAGAGGCAGCACTTATTCACAATGTTTAATGCAATTAACCTACGGTTGCAGTGTTATCTGAACTGTCCATGGACTGGTTCTGTGAACTCTACTGCTGTAAATCCAAACGTCCTGTTCTTCTCCTGGGGCTTTCCTGAGTGGAATAGAATGGAAATAATTGGAAATTAGTCTGGCCTATTTGTCTGTCAGGATACGGTTGTCTACAGTTGAAATTTTAACTAGCTGTTAGCAAGTGAGGTAGCAGCTAGGTAAATGTTTAACCGCATCACTGCTCTGTTAAATTTACTACAAGTGTTATTTTAATAGCTTTGCATATGCATTTGAACAACAAATGACAAAATATTAATCCAAAACTTGATCAATTGATCAAATAGGATTTGGCTGTAATAAAAAGTTAGTCATATCTGCACTAAATTCTTACTGCTGTTATAGATTAAAAAAAAAATTTGCTTAATCTTTTGTTTTCTTGTGATATTTATTTATTTTTCAAACCTAGGTGTTGCCTATCAGTGCTATCACGGTTTCCTGAGAGCTGTCCAGGAAGGAAATATCCAGTGGGAAAGTCGCACTTATCCGTATCCAGGAACTCCTATCACTCAACGCTTTTCACACAGTCAGTATATGTTACACAACTACACTGTGATGTCCATACATAAAGACAAACAGTATTTATAAAGACCTTTTTAGATTTTATCATTTATTATGTAAATTAAAATGTCAAGTTGGTCCTTATTCTTGTTGTTTTTATTAGCATATTTCTTTGGTTTTTCATGCACTGAAGAGTCACCTTTTGTTTTGTTTTGTAACACAAACACTAGTCTGCCATTTAGACAGTTTGACAGGAAGAATCACTGACCATTGAACTTTTGATCTTTTGTGGAAAACTGTAGCATATTGTTCCAGAACGTACACACGTGTTTCACCTCTGCGTTACACGTTTGTTACACTGCTCTTATCATTATAAAGCAGGTCTCACAGATCATTATTATCCACCATGACACATGACAGCATAACTATTCTAAGAACGTCTCTTGATCGCAGTCCAAATATTAGCTCAGACAAAGCTCCTGACTCAGCAGATCGGTCACAGAATTAAGTTGAATTTGAGACGTTTGTTTTTTTTTCCACACACGGATATAAAGCTCTAAAATGGTTGCTTCAGTTTGTTGATCTTGTTGTGTTTCAGGTGCATGTTACTATGACTCAAACCAGTCCATGTATGTGTTTGGAGGCTGCACTCAGAGTAGCTGCAATGCTGCCTTTAATGACCTGTGGAGACTTGACCTCAACAGCAAGGAGTGGATTCGCCCTTTAGCCTCAGGTAGGAGTTTGTCTAAGAATCTATAAAAACGGATGAAGACAAAAAATCCAAAACAAAAGCAGGTGTATGGTTAGTCTGTGATATATGTTTAGTTTTGACTCTTCGTTCTTTTTGACTTTTTTCCTCCGTCAGGCTCTTATCCGTCTCCCAAAGCTGGGGCGACTCTGGTGATGCACAAAGATTTGTTAGTTCTCTTTGGTGGCTGGACTCGACCCAGTCCTTATCCACTTCACCAGCCAGAAAGGTTTTTTGATGAAATTCACACATACTCTCCTTCAAAGAATTGGTAAATTCTAATTTTTATTTTATTTTAAAATGCTTTTAAAACGACATGCGTTAACTCCTAACACACTAAAACCTGTTGTTTTTTGTTTTTTTTTTTGTCTCGTCTGCTCTTGTCAGGTGGAACTGTATCGTCACCACACATGGACCCCCACCTATGGCTGGACACTCTTCCTCTGTGATTGGAAATACCATGGTGGTGTTCGGGGGGTCTTTAGGAGCTCGTCAAATGTATGACTCTACTTCTAAAAATAACATACCACTGAGCCAGAATCTGAACCTGCAGTAGTTCATACATTTAGGAGCTGGTATTGAACCTAAAAGTCAAAAGAAAATGTAAAAAAAAAAATGGTTTCACACATCAGTACAACACAACCTCTGTTCTCTTTTACCACATCTCACATGTCACTGGTTAAAATTAGCCAACTAGCTAACCAGGGTTTTAGTTTTTTGGGTTTTTTTTTTAGTAGCTTTTGCAACCATTTTGTTTGTTTTGGTTTACAACCTGTGTGTGACTCTGATTTACTTGAATATCAGCCGTTTCACATGGCAGCACAAAGTCTTTGATTGATTAAAACGAATCTCATGATGTGCAATTTGTGTCTGTTCAGGAGTAATGAAGTCTGGGTCCTTGATCTGGAACAATGGTCCTGGTCCAAACCAGTCATATCTGGTCCATCACCACACCCACGGGGCGGCCAATCACAGGTTGTTGTTTCTCTTTTAATGTAGAAAAGAAAATGTTAGTTTTTGCAGTTATGTTTATATGTTTCTAATTATGAAAGTGTACTTTGTTTTTCAGATTGTCATTGATGATCAAACATTACTCATCTTAGGAGGGTGTGGTGGACCTAATGCGGTACTTTTAAAAAAAATTCTTGGCACTGTTTTATAGAAGTAACTTCAAGTCCCTGATGTAAACAAAGTGTTTCCTTGTGTTAAAGCTCCTGAAAGATGCCTGGCTTCTTCACATGGGTTCACCACCATGGAGGTGGCAGCAGCTCCAGGTGGAGAACGAGGAGCACGGAGCCCCAGAACTCTGGTGTCACCCAGCCTGTCGGGTAAGTGTCAGCCCTCAGTGGCAATTTGTTAACTTTGTTAAATAACGGCACTAACGCGTGTGTGTGTTTCTCTGCCTGCAGGTCGGCCAGTGTGTGGTGGTTTTCTCACAGGCTCCATCTGGGCGTACACCACTCAGCCCAAGTCTTAATTCTCGGCCCTCCCCCATAAGTGCCACACCTGCCCCTCTGGGGCCTGAACCGCCTTCATTACGTTCTCAGTCCCCTGTCCGGAGCGGGGCTGCTGGGGTCGTCCTGGGCGCCGCGGAAGAGGCTCCGTGTGTGAACGGTCGATGGGGGACCTTGAGGCCTCGGCCTTCAGCAAGAGGCGGTGCCAGAGACGGAAGTCCGTCCTCCTCGCAGCAGCCGTCTCCTTTACAAGGCCCTGACAGCCCTCCTCTCCCCCCGCTATTGAACGGCTCCTCCCCTTCACCCCGGACCAGCCCAGCCCAGGCTGCGTCTCCTCCCTCCCGCCCTCACCTGTCTGCCTCCTCTGACTATGGTTGGGAGTCTCCTCCCTCTGCCTCTCACCACCCCGAGTTGCCCAGCACCAACGGCCTACATACACCTCCTGCGGGCTCTGCGAGTACTCCTCCAGGAGCAGTGTCCCCGGCCGCCTTAAGGCGAGGCCTGGAGGCCGTGAAGAACAAATCTTCCTCATCTTTGCCATCTTCATCGTCATCATCATCGTCTTCCTCTCACATCCAGGGGGCTTCTCCTGGAGGAGGAAGCAGCGATAGAGCAGGTCTACCAGGGACCCCTCCCTCATCGTCCTCCAGTCCTCCTCAGCCCGGGGGGACCGATGGACACGCCATCCCACCAATTGCGCGGCGTCTCGGCCATCACCCGCCTCAAAGCCTGAACGTAGGAAAACCTCTGTACCAGTCGCTCAACTGCAAACCCATGCAGATGTACGTGCTGGACGTGTCCCGCGCCAAAACTGCCGGGCTGGTGTCGTGGAGGGTTTACGGAAACGGCAGCCCCGCGGCGGTCACCGGGCCGCCGGAGACCAGCCTCCACACTGTCGTGCAGGGCAGAGGAGAGCTCATTATATTCGGGGGCCTCATGGACAAAAAACAGAATGTGAAGTACTACCCTAAAACCAATGCCTTGTACTTTGTTCGTGCTAAAAGGTAATACGACTCCAGGGCGAGGGTGGAATAAGAGACGTTTGGACCTGTGACCACGGCAGAGCGGAGACAAAAAGGCCTTTTTCCTGTTGAGAAAATAAATGGAGGAAAAACATAATCCAACGACGTTGTTACTTGTCAGAAAAACCCCCGCAGCTTCCTTTCTGCCTACTGCAAGCATCGGTATAACAACATGTAAAAGTTCACTTTGGTTAAACAGTTTCTTGAATGACGGTCCTGTGTACGAACGTGTGTGCGTGTACTTGTGTGCATGAGTGTTTGTAGATGTGCGTGAAGTGGTTGAAGGACTGGACATTTTTGATGCTCACCTGTAAGTGATCACAACCAAACTTAAGAGAAACCAACCAGTTTGAACCGGTTGACGACTACCCTGCTTTTTCTATCACTCTACGAGCCTGCAATGTTTACATTGAAACGGGTGTGAGTGTGTGTGTGTGTGTGCGTGCGTGTGTGTGTGCGTGCGCACATGTGTGCCATGTTTGCACGGTGATGGTTAAAAGTTGTGAAAATGACGTGTCTGTGCGGAGGGTGTTGCTGACCCCTGGTGGTGACATCTGTATTGAGTAATTAAATGGCATGTGGACAAGGTTTGACCTCCGCTCCTCTTAAAACGTTTCTCCTGTGACCACATGAGATTGCAGATCCACCCCCCCTTCACCTCTCCCTCCCCCACCGCCACCCAGATTATAAACAAAAGAACTATTGTGACTTAACACTTCCTCTTCCAAACCACGCAGAGATCATGTCTGATTGTGATCATGTCATCAGACACATTTTACACGTAGAGACCATTGACATAGAACTGTCCACATGTGATACGGTCACTCTGAACGGACGTCACTGCCTGATATATGACGGGGTCAGCAGTTGAGAGTTATGGCACTGTACATTAAACATAGTTAAATAATAAAAGACTCCACGTCTGCTCTGTCACGGCCTGTGTGTTACCGCACGTCTTTGTCCGTGATTCATTTCCTCTGTTGAGCAAATCGTCTGACTGTAATCTTGGAAAGTTTTAAACTTTCTCAAACTAAAACCTGTCATCAGGAAGACTAATAATTTTATTTATTTTTTACACTGACGGAAAGAAAGAAATATTTTTCTTTTTGAAATAATGGAAAAAAATGTAGTTAAAATATTAGTTTATTATCCTAAAATATGCAACTAGTCTGAGCTAATGCAGCGCACTCTAAAATGGGACACGGTAAGTTTAACTTTTAGCCACTTTATTTCACAAATTTTACAATTTTTCTACACAGCGTTCTGTGATCAACATCGTTCTTTCTTTGCAGGACGCAGCAGTCTAACAACAGAAGACAGACGTGGACTACACACACACGCGGTCCAGTCAAATTTACACACCACATCTCTGAAACACACTTAGTCTAATTCATGCAGAGAAGAAACCTCTGCATGGATGGTGCCTTCAGGTACCTGCAGATCATTCACATAGTTAATGATTTACTGTAAACTCATGAAGTTTCAGATTCTTGCACCACATGCCGACTCAGCTCTGCCCTCACACACAGACACAGATTTGACCTTTTTTTTCTGTCTTTTTCTTTTTAAGTTATTCAAGTGGAGATGAAAACAGACCAAGTCTTTCACCTGGTCCAGGTCAAAGTGATGAACTATCGACCATCTTCACTGAGTCCAACGAAGCCTTTGATGTGTCATCCTTTGATTCCTAATAATAATAATTCCATACCCAAACCAGTTCACCTGTTTATTACTAATGTATTTTAAATAGAAATACACAACCAAGGTAGATAGATTTATTTAAATACATAATTTATAATAGATCTTATATAAAATTTATAGCAGGTCAGCCAACATTTTATCTCCTAACATGATTGTCTGTTGTTGAAGTCTGACTTGTGTATTTGATCAGCAGGTGCTGCACTGACACCAGCCCACGGTCTGGCTCTCCTTTAAACTCAAAATATCAAGGATAAAATTATTAAAACTTATTGTTTAATTTCAGAATTTTGTTTAATTTAGATGAGATTATTCTGTGTCTGTATTAAAATTACTTACTACTCGATTTGCATCCACTTTGTTTGTAAGGACAATTGCTGCTGAATCTTTACGATCATCATAAGGACAGCTCTCAATTTTGTCATTCAGGGCCTGCTTTATTGCCCTCTAGTGGTTACTGTGAGACACGGCACTAAAAAGGAATCGCACTTATGCCATTGAAAGTCCTTAATGTTTGTAATTTTTCCACAGTAAATTGAACGTTAACATAATCGGTATCACTTGTACTATTATGTTTTAAAGTAATGTTTTTTTTTTAGTAATAATACAATTAGTACTAATAGTAACAATAATAATAATGTTTGTCCCGTTTTGTCACCCGTCTCTGTCCTCTCTACATTCCGTCACACTTGTCCAACCCCCACCTCTCACCACCGACCTTTAACCGACAGCCCTCCTATCGCAGCAGACCAGGGGCAGTTCGAAGCCCAGCGCCTGATTCGCCCGGAGCAGAGGGGATGTGGTGAGTTGGCAGACAGGGCTGCAAAGGTATTGGCTCTGACCGAGGGCAGTGGGCGGAGACTGTGACAATGAATGTGCTGAGGACACATGTTTACAATGTTAGAGGGAAAGAAGAATGGAAGTGAACAACTGCACTCTGGGAGTTCCTCCGTCCAGTCACCGAACCCTGTGACCCGATCAGAGGCAGGTGAGAGCTGATTTGACTCGGTCCGTGGATGTGAAGCTGCTGCTGGAATGTGTTTGTGTGGAGACTAGTTTGATTGAGTTGAACAGGAAGACGTGGGGAGGTGAAAACACACAGAAATAAAGAAGAGATTTTTCATAGTTTTTTGAATTGATCTGACCCATTATGCTGTTTTGTCAGTAGATAGACTTGGACTTTCTTTATTGTCACTGCACAGAAACAAAAAACAAAGAGTCTGCCCCCTTGTGTCAGCAGTTTAAATGCTAATTTGGTTTTAAAATTAATCTTACAATCACTTGCTCTCAGTTCAAATATTAACTCTGTAATGGAAACTGCAAAGATAAACAAACGTGAATGTTTCTTTCACAGATGAAAATCACCTCAGGAGGACAGGACGGTGGTGCAGTGTCATGTGAGACGTGCCGTACCAAACTCTCACGCTGAGTTATCACACCCGTGATAACATTTGTCAGTTTTTTGTTTTGTTTTTTTACCTGCATGTCCTGCACCGTTCACACTCCCCGTGCTCTTCACGGCCAAACAAGAGGCAGGGGTCAGTTCAAGGACACAGAGCGGAGATCACCCGTCCAGGGATGACCAGTGCTCAGCTGCTGGAAACTTCATCTTCACAGTCGGTGTTTGGTGCTCAGCCTTCCTGCAGAATGGCGTCCACTGTGCCCGCAGTCCCCTCTGGTGTATTCGCACCCTCGCCGTCGTCTCTGCCGATGGTTTGGCCTCCGCTGGATTTTGCCCTGGGTGCGCTGGCTTGCTGCGCTGCTTGCGTCTTCACCAATCCTCTGGAGGTGGTCAAGACTCGTCTGCAGCTCCAGGGAGAGCTGTGTGCCCGGGGCTCTTATCAGAAACACTACCGGGGCGTCCTGCAGGCTCTGTGGGTCGTGGGCCGCACGGACGGGCTGCGGGGCCTGCAGAAGGGCCTCTCAGTGGGGCTGATGTACCAGGGCGTGATGAACGGTGTCAGGCTGGGATCCTACTCCTACTGTGAAGCCCTGGGTATCACCTCCTTCCACGGGGGAAGTCTGCTGTCGGGGGCAGGGGCCGGAGCCCTGGGGGCTTTAATTGCCTCTCCTGCTTACCTGGTGAGTTCACTGTCGCCTCCTGTCATTGTTCTAACTGTCACCAAACTATCCCATATTACTGTAACTTTTTGCCGATATTCGATTTGCCGATATTGTCCAAACACTTCATTTCCGATTCCGATATAAACTGATACTGATTTATGCAGCCGTAAGTCCCCAAAACTGAGGTCAACGTCTCAAGACCCCACAAGTGATTCCAGTATATTTGGCGAAACCCAAGCATTCGGAAAAACCGGTAACGATTCTTACCGATGTTACATAATTAAGCTAATATTGGGCCGACAATATCGGGAGCGTTTTTTTAAAACTACACAGCGAGAGCAGATTTCTACTGCTGTATTTCCAGCAGCATTTTGATAATACCTAAAGTATAATAGACTGATATTTGATATATAAATGTATATCAAAACAATAATAAATATTACCTAATAAAAAATGCTACACGTAACCTTCAGCGTGGTACTGGAAACACACAGCTGAGGTTTGAAGGCGTCTCCGGTGTCAGAGGTCTATTTTTAGTTCACACGAGAGTGTTGGTGAAACAATGTGACATTACATGGGTGTGTACAGTCTACAGACCGCTTCTTGTTGACAGTCTCCCCAGTCTAACAAGCTTCAAATGTCAACACAAAACCAGTGATTCATTCAGACGCCGTTACTTCAGATTAAAATACTGCAATAAATAAATAAATACATTCACAGTCGGTGCAGTTTCTTTTGGGACAGAATGAAATTAAGAAAGTCAAATAGATTTATGTTTCTATGACCTGTCTACAATATCTCTGCACCCCAGTGGGAATCACATAAGTAAAGGTCATCGTAGGTTTTATTTCTTTTTTTCACCCCTGTCCTCCGTGTGTCCACGTTGTTGTTTTCCTCCCTGAGTTGTCGGCCCGTACGGCCGTGGAATCTGACCTTTTATTCCAACGTGGAAAGACTTCACTCTTTGATGACATGTTCATTTATAATTCCGGTCACTAAATATACCCTGCAGCGCTGCCAGAGTATCTGCCGTATCCTGTCTGTGTAGTTTGGCAGCGGACCAGGGTTGAAGTCGTTTTATTGACCTGAAGGCCGCGGTGATTGAAATCTGAACGCGTTTGACTCACAGTGAGGAGTTCTGCCTCCGGTCGCTCTGATTGGCTGAGGTCTGAGTGACTCAGACCTGGTGACGAGGTTGGATCTTTCTGTCTGACTCTTGTCTATTCTATTGTTTTATTCTGTTGTATTTGTATTCCCAGGTAAAGACCCATCTTCAAGCTCAGACTGTGAAGACCATCGCAGTAGGTCACCAGCACAACCATCTGGTAAGAAAGTACGAGACATAAATACAGGTTGTTAAATTATAATTTAAAAGAAACATCCTATTTATTTAGACGCTCCAAATGCAAATAAAGACTATATATTGCCGATATGCCGTTATTGTCCAAACACTTAATTTCCGATCCCCATATCAACCGATACCAATATTTATCTGTACAAACCACTGTATGAATTTGAAATTAATCAAATGAGCTGAAATGCTGCCATCTAGTGATTTTCACTTTAATATACAGCCGTTTTTCCCCAAAACAATTTTTAGGGCACACTTCATTTTGTATGTGACCCCGGCATATTTATCGTGTTTTCATTATCGAAGGATAAACCGATAACGATTCTTACAGATATTACGTTTTGCTAATATCGGGCCGATATTATCGGACGCTGACATTATCGGACATCCGTACTCATAATAATAGATAATGGTAATAGAAAACCACCGTTGACTCTTCATTTTGTACGTTTTTATATTAAAGAAAAATAGAGCGTTCATAAACACCGTCGTACGGAGGATTGTCGTCTCACACCTGTGTCTAACCACATTTTCGTTCTGGCTCGTTCTTATCTTACAGGGAGTCTCCGATGCGTTCGTCACCATCTACAGAAGAGAAGGTTTGATTGGTCTGTGGAGGGGCGTGAACGGGGCCGTGCCTCGAGTCATGGTGGGATCAGCTGCTCAGCTGGCAACCTTCACCTCGGCCAAAGACTGGGTGTCACGTGTCCAGGTTGCTGCGCTTCACAGCTGACATTTACTCTCTGCCTGTAGCTGAACAGTTGCCATCACAACACACACACACACACACACACACACACACACACACACACACAGATATCAAATTTCATTAGCCTGTTTTTTTTTTTTTTTTTTCCGGTTCACATCAGTGGTTCGCTCCAAACCACTGGCTCACGGCCTTGATCGCAGCCATGATGAGTGGAGTCGTGGTGGCGTTTACCATGACGCCCTTTGACGTCATCAGTACCAGGCTGTACAATCAGCCGGTGGATGAGTGTCGTCGGGTGAGCTGAGATAATCTCGTCAAAGCTGATGATGTCATCACTCAACTTTTGACACAAAGACAATCTCACACTCCTGTCTGTTTCTCTTATCTGCCTCCAGGGACGTCTGTACCGTGGCTTTTCAGACTGCATGCTGAAGGTCTGCCAAACCGAGGGTCTCATGGGCTTATATAAAGGCATGGGCCCCGTGTTTCTACGCCTGGCCCCCCACACCGTGCTCAGCATGCTGTTCTGGGACTTGTTGCGGCAGCAGACGGTGAAGGAAAAGCACAGACAACAATGTTCCTGAAACCCTTTTTTTTAAATGATGCTGCTTAAACATACCAAAAAAAAAAAAAAGAAAATCATCAGAGGGAAGCTCGGCCTTTCCTGCCTTAGCCATGTGGTCTGCAGTCCACTCCCAAGCACATGTCTGTCGTGTCAGTGTTTTTGTCCCAGGACGTCTGGACTGATGACGAGGCGGTGGATTCAACAGACCTGTGGATGATCATCGATCGGATCGATCCTTAAATACCTCAAATAATGAAATAGACTGATCTGTGTAGTTCCACCCACGAAGTGCCACCTGTGTGGGTCACAGGAGAATCGTAAATCATTATAGTAATAATAATGTTTTGTTAAACGTCCAGTCTGGCTACTGTAATGTCTCTGCTGTCACAGTCTGATGTTTCTTCAGGGATTCGACCTGTGGGTACGTGAAGCCTTTAACAAAGCAGTTAACAATGATTCTAACAACAATAATAAAAGTTGTTTTTTTTAAATATACAATTCAGTTTGTTTAAATTCACTGAAACTCAAGTCTGTAAAAAAGTTTTAAAAAAATTACAAAAAAAAAGATTTTGTTTTTTTCCTTTTATTTGTTTTCTACTGCATCATGTTTGTAAAAAGACCCCCCCCCCCAGGAGTCTTTTTTATCAGGACATACTGACCCTCACTCAGCAGCCAATCAGACTGACCTTTGGACCACAGTGACCAACAGAAAGAATAGATTGAGAAAATGAAATCTTTCCTGAATGATAACCATTAGCAGTTCAGCACCAACCGTCGTCGTCGTCTTCTTCTTCTTCTTCTTCATGACTGAACAGTTTCTCTGACCGCGGTCAGACTAACTCTGACCACAGTAAGTGTGACATCATCACCATCTTGTGTGTCTGTCATAAAAACAATGCTTTTTCTTCTGACCTGGGTCATGGGATCCTCAGACTCGAACCCTGTCGACTGCATTCTTCGAGGTGAGTTAAACAAACAAGTTTGTGTAAAATTCTCCAAAATCCCAAACTGAACTCCTGTGGATTTTTTTGTTTTCAGGGGTCGTGGGTGCGTGTGCAGTGTCAGTGCTGTGCAGTTTGATGAGAGTTTACTTTATTGTTCAATCAGGCAGGTAAGTGTAAACCCCCCTGTACCCCCCCCCCCCCCCCCCCCCCCAAAAAAAAAACAAAGTCTACATAAAATTAACATCAAAGAGCAGGAGAGTTGAACTTTATTTGACCTTTCACCCTGACTTTCAGTCCTCAGGGCAGCAGATGGAGAACAGAGGTCCAGTTCTGGGCCCTGACCCTCATCTTGTCTGTGGTGGGCTCCAGGGTGTCGTCTCTGCTGGTGCTGGAGTTTTCTCTCAGAGCTGCTTCTGCGTGGACTGTTTCAGGCCTGGTGAGTCGTTCAAACACACACAAAAAAATGAGCAAAAATATCAGGGTTTTTATAAAAATTGGATTTTCAGGAATTTGGAAATCAAAACAAATGTCATTCATTAAAATGTAAAATTCTGAGGTGTGATCCAGTCACTCTGTTGTTTTTAATTTTTCCTTCCACTCCCATGATTCCCGGTTCTCACTGACTGTTTTTCATCACATGACCAAATCACAATGATCCTCCCAGTGTTTGTATCTTTCCTCTGTTTTTTTTTCTTACTGTTACTTCAGTCTGGATTAAGAAACAATTATTTTTCTGCAGTCTGAACATAGTTCTGTTGTTTTTGGCTGACGCTGAGTTCAAGTGAGTTCAGTACATTTTAATGGTCAACCTCAGTTTAATTTTTTAAAAGTTTTACGGTTGTTATTTTATGTTTAAAAAACATAAAATAACAACTCAGTAAGTCAGTAAGCTTGACAAATAAAGCAGGTTTATTATTATATATTTTTGTCCTGTTGAATTTGATTTGGGAAATGATTTTATCTTACAGTGTAACCAGTGTCAATCCTTCGTCTGTGTTTCAGGGTGCGTCCAGCAGAGGGCTCCAACTCCTCCTCATCCAGTGCCAGTTCTCCTTGGGCTGCTGCTTCACCTGTCTTCTGGCTTTCCTCCATCAGGGGGCTCCACACAGCACCCTCAGCCTGTCATTGGCCGCGGCTCTCAGCTGGGCTCTGGCAGGTTCCGTCCACGGACTGTGGAGTCACGCGGCGAAACTGTACCCACTGCACAGCACGCAGCGTTACTGTGGGAAGTGCATGACCCTGCTGACCTCAGGACACTCCGTACTGGCCTCACTGCAGACCGCGCTCGTCTTGGCCTTCGCTGTTGCCAATGTGGCTTCTTTAGCCACAGTTTATGACCACTTTCTGTCCGAGAAGGATGCACTCAGGTTTTGGACTCCGCTCACTCTCTGCTACGCCATGCTGGTGGTCTGCATTCAAGGTGAGGCTCAGTGGTTTGACCTGATCATGTGTCACTGGCAAAAGACCAGAAGTGACCGATCTAGAAGTTTCTCCTGTTCTGCTGTGCAAAAAGTAAATGGTTGTAATAGTTCATTTGTAAAAAATTAAATATATGGTATCAGTAAAGTCAAAACATTACGTCAATAATAGTAACAACTAAACACAAATATTAATATTATTAATTTTAATATAATTTTTTATATTAAACAGTTACATATAGGAAACATTATCAGCATCAGATTTAATATCAGGAAATTAATTAAATTAATTATTTTTGCAGTGAACTTTATAATGAACTTTATATCTTTAAGAAATAGATTTAAGTAAAAAAAATAATAAATGAATGAAATGTTGTTCCATAGTGTAGCAGTTCACGCCTGCTTTACACATCTGCCTTACACACAGAAAGGTCCTGGGTTCGAGCGCCAGAGGAGCCACGTTGTTAATGGCGCCTCCTGTAATATTAATTTATATTTTGAAAGTTGAAAAGCTTGTAGAACAGAGTGAAGGTAAAAAATAAGGTACAATTAAACATTTTATTTTGTCACTCGTTGTTGTTGTTGTTGTTTTGTTGTGTGTAGATAATCAGAACCGTCAGACTCCGGCTGAGGCCCTGGTCCACACTGCTGTCCTGAGACTGGGGGCCGTCTTCGTCCTCATGCTGACGGTGGGAGACTGGTCTGACGTCACACACGTCCTCATCTGCTTCCTGGGAGAAGCTGCCTGTCTGCTGCCCTCTGGTGACCTTTTAGATCTCTTACTCAAGGTCAGTGGAAGAAGAAGAAGAAGAAAATCTTTGATCTGATGTTCAGTCTGAAATTAAAAAATAACTTTTTTCCTTTTTTTTTCGTTTTAGGAAGAAGAAGAAGAAACAACTCTGGAAAAATGTTGTCACAAACAAAGTAAAGTCAAAGACAGTTGATGATGTCACTGAAGTCCGTCCGTCGTCTACCTCCATGAACCCACTGATGTGTTAATAAAAAGAAGATCGTGGATTTTTACTCACAGTGTGAACTGACTGTTTCTGAATCCTGAAAGGGAAATTATTTTTGAAACTTTACTGTGCAAAAAAAAAGATGCCTTGCTAATGAGCGGAGCAGAGCCAGAGTTTGTGTTGGTGCGGGGCTGTAAGAATCTTGAAGAGGAGACCCAGACCTCTGTGTCCACAGACCTTCCAGAATGTTCTGAAGATCCATCCAAATCTGGTTCTGTGTCCAGATCAGGTGGTTCAGTTTTGGGTTGAAGGTTCAAATCCATCCTGACTACATTTTTTTTTTCTCCTTGCAGACCATGTTAATGGAAACCAACAGTCCTCGTCCTCCTGTCTCGTTTACTTCCTGTATGTTTCCCCCCTTTTTCATGTCTGTCCATTGATTGGCTGAACATTAACCAACAGTCAGGATTTTAAAAAAATAATAATTACAGAATGGAATGAAAACATTTGGAAGAAAAAAAGTGGAAGAAGTTTCAAAAGAGGTTCAGTGGGTTTGATGAGTGGGCGGAGCCTGGAGGTCTGAGGATTGTGTCATCAGTGAGCATGCCCCCTTCTGCAGCTGTGACATCACTTCAGCATTCCTTAGCACAGACCAGGAACAACAGACCCTAACCCTAACCCTAACCCTAACCTAACCCTAACCCTAACCCTAACCCGAACCCT